TTATCACGCAAAAGGAATTTTGGCCTCGGCTAAAAGGCTAAAATACTCTGCATTTGGGAAAATGACATAGAGCATAACACATCTCTTCTAAGCAGGAGGAAAAGAGTATGAATAATAATGAGGACAAAAATAATGGAGGGCATTTACCAGGTTGTTCTTGAAGTTCTGAAGCTGTTTTTGGTGATTTCCAGGGATCAACTAACGTAGCGCACGTGATCGCCTTCCGAGGCAGGTGGTGTGTTATCTCATTTTATACGTGGGGGCTCTGGGGCGCTGCTCTGCTCAACCAAGCACCGTATCCTCCATCCCAGCAGGCGCTGAGCTCCCCTGCACGGCTCCCACCGTGGGGGCAGGACCCCCAAGAGGCAGCAAAAACTCCGCAGGGAGCGGGTCTGCCCGGGCACCAGGGGCAGCTTGTGGCCAGGTTTAATCTCACTCTTGCCTCCTTGCATCCCCACTCGGCCTGGCTTGCGGGTCTCCTAGGGATGACCTCCCCATACCCTTAACACATGAGACACACCAGCCGGGCCGTGTATACCCCTGTGCGGTGTCTGTCCATCCCGGCCACCGGGAAGCGGCTCAGCGCCGAGGACGACTTGAGCACGTCCTGGAGGAACCAGGCTCTCCGCTGAGTCTTTGTCTGACTGCTTGGGATTTCCTCTTCATTCTTTCTGGCAAATGCTTCCAGGGGCTGGGCTAACTGCTTTAATGCAAACCAAGTCCCTGGTGTAAGTGATTAAGTCATTGCCGTTCCAGAAACGAGAACACCAGGGCTCAAGAGGATTCAGCAACCTGCTGGAGGCCACAGAGCTGTCAGGGACCCGCAGGTGCACCTGGCTCTGTCTGGCTCCAAACTGTCGTGGACACAGTGTCTGCTGCTGCTACGCCTTCCCTGCAGAACCCTAGATCACAGGGACCCGTGTGACGACAAGGGTTTGCCTGCTGTCCCGTTCGGTGTCCCATCTCCTTAGTACCCCTTTTGCTCCTAAAAGTCTCCTTGTTTAAACAAAGTATATCGTCACTATCCCCGTATGTTCTGAAGCCTCTGACCAGGGCTTCAGTATCAAAATTCTGGCTCCCCGCTACCCATCCTCACCTGGAATTCCCATCCATGTCTTAAAACACAACTGTTTCAATTTAAACTCGTTTCCTTCTAAACCTGTTCTTCCTCTGTGTTCCTAATCCTTTTAACGTGTCCCTGGGGACACTTCCAAGAAGTCCAGGACTTGGGAGTGGCCTCTCCGTCAACCAACTCTCTAACCCTGCATCAACCACGAGCTTCCTACATCTTAACATTCTTGCCGATGAAGCAGCCAGCCCTATGAGGCTGAAAAAGGCAGTATGGCGAATTATGAAGAAAGATATACGTAAAGCACTACTATCATTAAAAAATCCTGGTAAAACCATTCTCAGACAAATACCGAATGGTTCTACTCTTCTGCGGTCCCTGGAGTAGCTAACTTTACTGAAACAGGAAGCAGAACAGTGGTTGCCAGGGGCTGGGGTGGGGCGGTGAGAGCTGAGTTTCACAGGCAGAGAGTTTCAGTTCTGCAAGACGAAAACGTTCAGAGATGAACCTGGTTGTGGTTACGCCACCGCGTGGATGGACGTAACGCCACTGAACTGCGGCCTTAAAAACGGTTAGTCAAAATGGTAAATTGGGTGTTAATATATTTTGACACCGTTTTTAAAAAATAAAATAATTCTTTTCAATAAAATCTCTCTCCTCCTGTGGAACTGCGGGCAAAATGTGAACCTCTTCAAAGGTCTTGTCAATCCGTTGCATTAACCACTAAAAGCTTGAGCTAGAAACCTGCTTGGTCTCTTTGGCAGTGCAAAACAGGTGGGGCGTGGGTATGTATTTGGTAAAGTGTCCAGGAAAAGATGGTTCTTAGAAAACAGACACCCACGAGAAAAGCCAGAGAAGGCAACACAAAGATGTAAAATCCTGTTAGGGTTAAAGCAAGTTAACATCTCTCTCGTAAGAACACGATCGGGAATACACAGAAAGTCCCCCGCTTTGTGGGAAGGCAGACCTGTGCCTGTGTGAGCCACGGTGCCAGAGACGTCGAAACTGAAAGCAGCTTCGTTACACGGATAACGTTTGTGCCAGAGACGTGCTGACCTGCGGCGGCTGAATACTTTCCGGAACACTGACCTCCATCCTCCACCACCATAAATGACCTTTGCTAACTACCATCGGTTTGTGAGAGTTTAAAATTCTTTTCAAATATGCACCTAAAATAATCACACTAATCTCACATAGTTTATTCATCACTTCCTCTTCAACCACAGCCCCTTTTAAAGACCCTTGAACAGTGACTTGACTTCAAGAGAAGTCAAATATTAACTAGAAATAATCATTTTAATTACCTAAAAGTGGTCAATCAGCTGTGTTGAAAAGCCTTCAGATCAATTTAAGGCATAAAAATAACTAACGAGATTGTTATAAAATACTTTATAAATTTAAAGAGTCAAATAAACGGTTTATAATCAGCATCATCATCGTCATATGAAATAATTTAACAGTCACAAAGTGACCATAATGAATCTCTACCATTTTATCCCATCTACATAAAACTGTGAAATAATGAGAAATTAAGTGCTATTATGCCGCCGCTTTAAAAGGTAAATGCTCCATAAGGGCCAAAACCAAAACAAAACAAGAACAAGAAACTAAATTCAAGCAAGACCAAGGAAACCGATTAGAATTTTACTTGATTTGTGTGCAATATATTCTTTAAGTGATAACAAAGATGCAAAATTTTGATCAATAATTCCAGATAATAGTCAACAGATAATATTATAACATCAAACAGATAATATTCAAAAGATTGCTTCCAAAAACTTTTCTCTTTTGGAGATAGGGTCTTGCTGCATTGCCCAGGCTGGAGTGCAGTGGCATCATCGTAGCTCATAGCAACCTCAAACTCCTGGGCTCAGAGAATCCTCCTACCTCAGCCTTCCGAGGAGCTGGGACTACAGGTGCTCAACACCACACCTGGCTAATTTTTCTATTTTTTTGTAGAGAAGGGGTCTTGCTATGTTGCCCAGCCTGGTCTCAAGCCACCCTCCAGCCTCAACCTCCCAAAGGACTAAGATTACAGGCATGAGCCATTGTGTCCGGCCCACAAAAACTTTTTTTGAAAACTGTGTAAGGTCTGCAAAAAATAGACAATCTATTTTCTGATGTGTTTCCTAATGGCAACTAATTCTTATTACCACGTGATGAAAGCACTCCAGGGAATAAGAAAAAGATTGGATGTGAGCTGACTTCCATTTCTTTGTTATAAAACCAAACATCTGTATCCAAAAGAAGACCAGCAAAAGGAAAAAACACTGTCAAAGACATTAAATATACACTAAATGTCGCTCATCACTCTTTTTAAGAAGTGGGAAGCTGTAGGGTCAGGTGAATCAAGAAACGGAGAAAATGTCAAAAGCGATGAATTTGAACCCCAGGCAGATCTTAACGGCTTAACTAGTTTCTCCACCTATAAAAATCAGGACACCCTTGCTGCTGTTTGTGTTAGGTAATTAACAGGCGTAAAGAACGCTCAAAGTGGAAACTGCTAAATAAATAATGACTGCTGAAGAATTCTAACCATAATGTGCTAAATAATAATGATGAAAAACGTGGGCTTCTAATGTTACTACTTTTTGTTTTCAAATTAATAGTGCGAATGAGACTCACAGTCTCATAAATATGGCTTAGCGTTGTGTCAGATCGCAAGTTAAATTTAGGGATCAGGAAGCACAGAAGGGATCTTGTTTCTCCAAGAGCAGTTGACTCAACTATAGATGGAGCAATGAAAAGAAAGTCATGTTCTATTCCTGTAGCTACAGAAATATCACCGCGTTGCCTGTGTCTACATTTTGGCTAATTCCAAATAGAGGCCATTCTACTTGAAATCAGCTTTTTGAGAATTTCTATTTATTTTAAACTGATTTTGAAACCCTACACTTTAGTAATGTTTTAAACTATTTTCTGGAAACTGGCAACACAATGACAGTCAACTAAAAAATTACTGTTCTCTAAGTTTCCCAAACCCTTTAACTATAGTGTGTGAGACTGTAGGCCTATCTAAGAACTTTCCAGGCCTTTTAGACTTGCTTACTGAGGGAGTAAGGAGAGAGAAGATATTAGCGCCAATCCTACGACCTTCCTTCTAAACTTTTTATTACAATGGTGTTATGAGTATGCGTCATAAGATTTAAACCATGGACCAGGAAACTTAACATTGTTTTACTATTCATAACTATACTTTTTTTTTTTTTGCACATACACACTTTAAATAACTACTGAGTACTGTGAAATCTTAAGAAAAAAAACCCAAAGAATTATAAATCATAGAAAGATGTGAAAACCTTGGAGATCAAATCCATTTTAATTATTTCTCATTGAAAATACAACATATGGAAAATATGATCTTCTATCTAAATCTAAAATCTGATCAAGGTTCTGCTCACAAAATATGAATACTTGTAAATAAACTGTAGCTATAAAGAATAGTTTCGACATCACTGAATAAACAAGCCTACATCTTATTTACTATATATTTGGGGAGAAAGTCATCCTCCAGTTACTATTTTAAGGAAAAATTAAACATCTACAAAAGAAACGGAAGTAAAGGGTATTATTCACATTAAAACCCAAATACATAATTTTATTCTTATAGCCAAAACCTCAAATACCAGTTTTAGTGACTCGTATTAATTTAATTGTGACATTAGCTCTTATAATCACAGATGTAAAAAGACCACTATGTTCCAAACATAATTATCTCACCAGCATCTTATTTCATGAAATTATTAGTTGAGAGCCTCTGAATAAATTTATATTTGATTAGTTTCACTTACTTAAGAACACTGAATAATTTAAGATCCTTTTAAATTTAAGGGAAGCAGGAGGGATGCTTCTGAGAAGTGCCGAATCCCCCACACCCTGCCAGTTCCAGACGGACCCTGTGTTTTTCCGAATGACTGCTAACCGTGCATACCTTCCAGGTGAAGCCACATCAACCTCCCCTTCACACTGACAACAGAGGCCACGCAGAGCTCTCCTGGATTCCTGGGATTCACAGCTTCAAGTTTCATGTTCTTTGTGAAACCTCGGCTGAATGATGTCTGAAAGAGAAACAGAACTAACACTGAGACAACAGGCATAGCAAGATGGTGGGCAGCAACAGAGCAGGGCAGATGAAGAAACAGAAATGCACACGTGTGCACACACATCTTATTTGTAAGACAGGATTGTTGGCGTGTTTGTGTTTCCTATGATTCACGAGAAAAGAACCAGGTACTCTTCATTTAGGTATCCCAGAAATTAGAACTCTGCTTGACACATGCTAGGTTATAATATTGGTTATGCGAGTGAGAGTATGAACACATTCTCTCTTTCCAGTTCCATATCCACCTTTAAACTTCTGTGGGATCACTGAGGGACACACCATTTCTTCTACTTTCCTATATCGCACCTGCTGGTCTAAGGACCACCCTTTGAGAATCACCACTTTAGGTAACTGAGCTTAGTTATAACAGGGGCTTTAAAATACTAGTCTGTTAATTCCAACATCTGGGTCTTGCTGGGTTTAGTCTATGTCGATAATCTTTTCTACTGAGAATGAGTCTAATTTTCCAATTTCTTCGTGTCCTGAGAAACGATGGGTTGAGACATGAATATTTTAAATGTTACGTTGCGGAGACTCTGGATTATGTTATATTCTTCCCAAGAGTGTCTGTTTTTCTGCTTTAGCAAGCAATTACCTGGGCTGCACTCAAACTACAAACCCTGTCTCCTGAGAAGTAGCTCAAATCTCAGTTGAGTTCTTTCATCCTTATCAAGGCTGCGTGGAGTCTGCCTGGTACATACATAATTCAGGGATGAGCCAAAGATCCAGGCAGAATTTATACATAGAATTTGCGGTTCTCAACCCTGGCTCTCTCCCGTCTGAGTGTCCCTTTACTTTCCCGTATCTGTGGCTGCCCAAATTCTGTAATCTGGTTCTTCAGGCCAGAAAGACCATGAATTTTATATTACTCTTTAAGTCGTCCCATATGTTGCCAACTGTGGATGCCCTCAGGCTAAAAGTCTGAATAAACGGGACAATCACCCCATGCTGTTCCTTTTTTCCCAACCACCTGCTCCCCTCCAGAATATGCCTGCTTTTGTTCCTTCCCCATACCCTCATGTAGTTTTTGCTACAGTGTCCTGAGTTTAGTTGTTATATTTGCAGAAGGATCAATGCAGTCTGAGCTTACTCAGCCAACACTGAAAGCAAAACTCCTTCCTAACATGATTTTTAAATAAATATGAAATTTTCCCATATCACCAACTACCATAAATTATAATCAGACATGTTACAAAACTATATACATATAACTATTTTGGAAATATAGACCCCAAGATAAATAGCTTCCTATAAAGTAAAAGAAAATACATATTTATGTGACTCATGTAAAGAAATCAAGGTAATTCACATTTACATTTCTTTTTATGAAACTTAAGTTGAAAAATGCAATTACATTTTCACATAACCAGAAGAAAATTATCCAGTGCATGTCAGTAAATCAATTGGCTCCTTTTCTTGATGTCTCTGTGGAAACAGGAGCCGAAGATATTCTAGGTGGGCAATTTTCTTCTGCAAGTCATCTTTTCTCATCCACGGCTCTTACTCATTGAGCTTCTTTCTGATAATACAACTCGATAGGCTGCTTGGAAAAGCTCTAAGTAAGTTAAAATGCATTTAATCCTACTTAATAAGGGAAAGCTACAACCACATAACCTATTTTCGTTTCAGTCCAGGGCTTGAGGGTAATTGATAACAGATCGATAGCAAAACTGTTATCTGGGAGTTTATATTATTAACCATTTGGCTGCATCCATCCCTTAGCTAACAGCCTCCGATTGTTAAACATCCCCGGGGGAAATGTCTGCCACGCATCCAATTCCACACTGGCTCTCCGCTGGTCCACATGAGATGTGTGATTAAAAAATGAATTCATAATAAGCATTCCGTTAAAGAACACTTGTAGCCAGCTAACAAATTCAGTAATGCGATGCGCATGCCAACGGGCAGCCAACAGTCCTGCCTATTAAATAAACGGAGAGCCAGAACAAAGGCCCTCCTAATGAACGCGGCAGCGAAGTCATGAAAACAGATGTAGTCTTGGTAGCTAAATCCCAAAAGCGCAGGGGCCACTGGGGAATGCGGCTACTCGCTCCACAGTTAAAAGCCATTTGGACAACTCATGGCCGAATGGGAGTGGGGGGCGTATAAAAAGAAGCTTTAGTGGAACTCTGTTGTCATAGAAGCAGTAACTCCCTAAGAGATGTCAGGATTTTCTTCCCAAGACTAAAGAGTCAGAGAAGGATCATTTCTCTTTTTTTGCACGCAGCACAATCTCAGGCGGGTTTTGGGGTATTGCAGAGGGTTCCCACAGTCCTAAATGAAAGGCAGACGGCCGGCAGGTTCTGCGACAGCAATATCATGACGGTGAGGGGTCGGGCAAGACAGCGCTGGACGTCTTAAGCCCTACTACGAGCCTCAGGAGCCAACCAGCTGCAGTCCTGGTGGGGCACGGGTGACCCAGCCAGCCGTCCCTGTCGCCTACACGTACCACACGGTTCTTCCACGCTGCAGAGAAGCTGCTGTTGCACAAAGGCGAAGTCGTCCAGGGGAAAAGGTCGTGCGCCCATGCGAGGAGCCCTGATTTCCAGCCCTGCCACTGACTGGTTCCAGGATGTGCGAGCACAAGTTGACCCAGGAACAAACCTGCTTAATTCTCCAAAATCCGATTTCCACGTACGCTCGGTTTTGAGCTTCTTCCTATTAAGCCAACCCTTTCTCATCTCATTTTTCATATTCTGTTATCTCCATAGTACTAATTACTAGTGGGGTGTCAAGGAATCGGCAGCTCTAGGAGAATGTGTTCAGAAAACAGGTCTTTGATTTGGGAGCGCTTTGCGTCTTTTTATCTACAGATCCCAATTAAATGGAGACTGTATCTTTTTTTCTTAGCATAAGGAATTAACTTTTGTAACTAAAATTATGGTGAACACACCAGGCTGTACATTTAAGTCTCATTCTTAAAAACAGAGATAATAATTCATGTTCCTTTTCACAGTTCCTAGGGTTGACAAATTATTTATAATTTTATAAACTACAGTCATGTGCTGCATAATGATGTTTCTGTCAAGGATGGACCAATTTTACAACGGTGATCCCATGACATTATAATGGTTATACTATATATATTAATAGCTTAGGTGTAGTAGGCTACACCCTCTAGGTTGTGGAGGTACACTCTACGATGTTCACACAACAACGAAATTGCCTGAGGATGCATTTCTCAGAACACATCCCCATTATCAAGTGACACGTGACTGTACTTTATAAAACCATCTCCTATAACTATGCAAGAACACACGTGTGCACACACACTGACTGTTATTTTACACGTCACAAACATCCTCGTACCATGCCAATACGCTCTACTTGAACAAGATAATAGCTTAAAGTAAGCAAAGCACAAGACTGACTAGCATCTCACCAGTAATCAAAGAAAAAAATTAAGACTGTATTTTAAGACTAGACCCCAGGGGCAAAGAATCTATCGATGGGCTTGTCGATACAACACCACATAGCACAGGCATACCTAACGGTGGCACAGAGGACTGGCTGTCCCCCAAAACTTGTCCTCTTCCTTCCATAGCACAGAATCGTATCTGGGAAACAGAAGCCCAGCAAGACCCATTTCCTGCCTCACTGATGGCATCGCGCAGCCAGGCAACTGGTTCTCCCCATTAGAAAGTAAACAGAAGTATTAATAATACAGGTCACTCTCAGGCTACAGTATTCAGAACTTGGTCTGTTTTCCCTTCTGCTGGCTAGATTCAGTGACTCTAACCCCAGACTCAATCAGGAACACCCCGGACTCTTCCGTAAGTGAGATTCTGCCACTGATGTTCAACCTCCTCCAAGCACGGTGCACTGATTCCTCAATCTGCTACCACAGCCCAGCCGCACCCTAACAGACGTACACAGCCTGGAAGGAGCACTTTTCAAAAACTCCGCAAGTTTTGTGATTCTCCGGTGCACGGTACCCCAGCTTTGCTCAATCAATAGGAAGTGACTTATTAAACTTATAGTCAACAACACCTATGATTTAAAAAAAAAAAGGTGGTCACATGTCTGTAAGCGTCTTACATTTCTGAAGCAGAACGGAGGTGCTTCTTCCGCCCCATGCTGCTTGTGATAATCCGCCCAGTCGAAGTCCTGGCCAGAGTAACCTGTGAATGACAAGACGCAGATAACGCCGCGTGAGTCAAGCTAAAGCCCAGACAAGCGGACAAAATAAGGAGGGGTGTAAGTTCAGGTCCCCAAAGGAGAAAGTTCTCTCAAGCCTAACAGCACTTCAGATTCCACGAAGTCACATGAAGTATTTTGGAAAACGTGAATTAATTAGTACTGCGTACAGGTAAGGCACCGTTATCATGACGTGGTGCCTGAACCCAGGTGAGGAGCGTGGACTTACCTGCCGCCGCACCCGCCAGTGGGGAGACCTGCCGCCGGGGAGGGGAGCTGAGACAAAATAACTCTATACGGGATTTCTCAAGTCTGTTTTTGACCCAAATCTCCCAATTTCTTTCCCCACTATTGTCGTAAACTCGAAAACTGCAAATTCATTTGACGTGAGGACTTTCAGGTGTGAATCCCACAGATGCAGAAGGACCAAAGAGATTCTTTATTAAAGAAACTCAAGATGCTGGTTTCCTCCTACGCCCCTGTGTGTTCTCAAGCACAGGATAGGAACTATTTCCATTAACTAAGCTCAGTTTACCCCATTTGCTTAAGGATGGGAGGCGGGCAATTAACCAAGAAAGCGGCCGTCCCTCTGGTCCCACAGACTGACCCCTGACACTGCCATCGGCCGCAGGGCTGTCCCCTCTTCCCTGAGACATCTGCTTCATTCTGCACAGACTGACGATTCTTTCCCAAAAGGCAGTAAGAAGTGTCAGAGTTTTGAGACGCTGCGGACTCTTTCCAGCTAGTTTCAAAGAGGTTCTTCAAGTCCTTCCACCTGCCCTTCCCGCCTACCCCCTTCTCTTCGGAGCTGTCCCCCCAGCTAAATGGCTCTTGCATCAGAGGTTTCTGGAAGGGACCAAACCGACTTTCTTCTGAACATTTTTAAATAAAACAAAACACATCTTAAGGTAATGTAATGTGAGTTTCTTTACAATTAATATAAACCTCGACTTTGAGCACAGTCTCTCTGGAAGGCTTTGGATCGAACCCTTGCATTATTGTAGAAGGATGGAAGAATTTGTCTCAAGGCACGTCACACTGGAGAGAGTTTCCTAGCCATAAAAGGGGCACTGACTCTGAGATGAGGGCATCGGGGTTTTAGACCCAGCTCTACCAGTAACTAGATGGACCACGGGAAAGTAAGTTAAATCTTCTGTGCCTGACTTTCCTCATCCACAAATTCACAAAATAAACAGAAGAGGTTTAGGGTCTCTGGCTGTCGCATTCTATGATTCAGAAGATGAATCTCTGCAATATAAGGGTCCCACTGGTTTGGGGTCTTGATAGACTGACTCTGTTCAAGTCAAGATCTCCTCTGTTCTGTCATCTCTTCCCTGGACCTCTGCTACTTCCTGAGTTAATTTTGTGAGCAGAGAAGAAAGGCAGGACAGGAAAAACCCATATAGATGAACAGCAAAGCATTTTCTGATACAGCATAGCATTTGGGTGTTCTTCATGGCCAGCATCTGCTCAGCTAAAACTTTCCAAGTTAGAAGTCACCCCTAGTCCTCACATATAGACGTTTAGCTGGGTTTTCTATAGCCAACTTCTAATGTACATCAACCCATGATATAAAACATCAAGTTCCATGTTTTCTTGGATCTATCGATACATTCAACCCTTCGATATACCCAGCCCTCAACACTCTGTCTATGGGGAGCCACTTCCAATCCAACAATTTTTAGATACAATCAAGTCTTGCCGGGTATGTTCTAAGCAACAATTAATTATTCCGCCCCTACAACGCACTCATTTTCTCGAACATTTGAACAGCTTAGAGGATGGCTCCTCCTTCTCTTAGGGACCTTTATTCACTTCCATCACTTAAAATTCTTTTCCTTTGGGCTGATAATGAGCTCTCTTTGTAAGTCGGTTTTGTGACAGCTCAGAAAATAACTGCTGCGTAAAAACAAATCGTTGTGGATTGTATAACAACGACAACAGGGGCCAATTACACTCATTAATCAACAAAGACAGAACAAGAAGTACGGAGGCTTAACTGCAGCCAGGAAAACATGTTTTAAACCTGGAGGGAGGCAGGGAAACAGCAGAGGAGAGAAGAAAATAAAAGGAAGTAAAACCCCTCAGGCTATTAAAATTTGCAACAAGCTGCCATGGGAGACTGTTGAGCCACAACCATTAGAGTTATTTAAGCTTTTATTAGAGTTTATTCTGAATGCAGTTCCCACTGCGCCAGGTCCAGAAGGGAAGAGGTGGACGACCCCTTCTCCCTCTGATACAAATGTGTGGACACAAAACAGCTCTCCCTGTGCACAGAGCTACTGGTGGTGCCAATGGGCAGTTCTTTGGAAAAACTATTTTGTTCATACCCTCTGACACAACAATTTCACTTCTGGGAACTTATCCCATAAAAACGGCCCTAAAAACTGAAACAGCATTATATATTAAGATATTTATGGCATTATGACTGCTAATAGGGGGATAAAAACAAACAACTTTTCATGCAATAAGAGCAAAAGAGATGAGATTTTTCCAGGTCCACAGAATGTAACACAGGCATGAAATCACACGTAGTAAGTTAAAAAAAATACTCCATAAAAAAATAATAGCTATGGCTTTTGATCAAAAGACTGCTACAAACACATACAGAGTTAGTATATTCATATAAAAATATGCAAAGAAAAAGACCAGAGGAAATGTAAGAATTTTGTAATAAATATCACCATAATCGTTTGGGTAGTAGGACTCTTGCTACTTTTTTCTTCGACCTCTTTGTATTCTCCAAGTTTTCAATAACAATTGCACAATTATTTCATCAATAAAAGTTATTTGAAAACACAGCATCTTTGTTCTATTTTAAAGGATAATCAAAGCACTGGTCACTCAGTCGAGGGTCTGTCCAGCACGTGGACCACACCACGACCGCCTCTGCGTGGCCTACCTCCAGCCTCGTGGGTGCCGACAGGATCCCGATTTTACCCAGTTCCCAGTGGAAGCGAATCGGTGACTCAGGACCCCCCTGAGACAATCGAGGTGGCTGCCAGCCCCTGGCCTGGGGCTTGAGATGGGGGTAAGGGACATGTGTGGAAAAAAAGGTTTTTTTTATTAAAGGGGCCGGGCCGGATTAAAGGTTCTTTTTGGGGAATTTTTCCTTTTAGTTTTCCGTTTTGCCGGCTTTTGTTTGTTGGTTGTTTTGCCAGGGTTGGAGAGGGGGTTGGCGTTTCTTGGAGTGACGGACACGTAGTCTGACACCAGTATCACAGTGGGGTAAAGCCAGGATGGAGAGAGACAGGGAGAATTAGTCGAGATGGCTCTGAGGATCTCACCACATGGGACTGAACAGCAAACAGCCCCGGGGAGAGATCGTCTTCGCCCCCGAGAACGTTTACTTTAGTAAATGTTAGAAGAGCGTGTGCAAATAGCAAGCTTGCTTAACTTTTAGTTCAAACTGCCCTTGGAAAGGGAAAGTGATACAATAATCTTCAAAGATCAGCAAATGCAAGGACCCAGATATCTGAACGGAAGAAGACGCGACAGAACCCATGTTCTAAGATCGGGTACTCCAACCTCTCTCAGAAAATCTCGTGACTCATTGAGCCGTTCCTCTGGGCATTTTTTCATTGCATTACTCTTCTGATTGAAAACTGACCTTTCTGCTTTCAAACCCAAGCTTTTATTGTTTCTGAAAGAACCAAAATTCCTTGAACACCCGCTAAAGCCATGTGCTCAACGGTGTCACTTCACGGGATGGTGCCCAGGAGGTGACGTTGCGCAGCCCTGAGCTGGCTGAGCTGCCCTGGGAGCCGGGCTGTCTACTCTGGAGATGTCTTTCCAAATGCTGCCTGTTTCTGTTTCACGAAAGAGTTTCTGTACATCATAGGCTCACAGGCAGGACGGCAAAAACACCCCCGACTAAAGCATTTCTTCTCATCCAGTCGTTTTGCTAAAAAACTACAACCTCCCTCTTGAAATCTTCCAACTACCTGTATATTCTCAGCTGATGTTCAATTGTCAGCCCTCCCTGACACATTTAAAATTTACTCATTCGTTAATTTCCAATTGAATTATTCTATGTTCATGGATCAGTGCAGAAAAAACAGCAATGGAAAATAAGGAAAAAGAAGAGAAACCGGTCGGTTTAGTATAAACACCAGCCATACCACCTTCCTTATCTTTTAAAATAAGAATTACGTTGCGAAGTATTTAATTATCGGTCATGGTGTGACACGTAAAATACTTCTCTGTCTGGGGGCATGTTCAACATGCTGTTTTGAATTATAAACATAATGTTAAGGGACACAGATATGTCCCCTGATGGAGCCTGACATCAAATAAATATCAGCTCTCAACAGTAAAACCATCTTAAAAATCCTGAAGAATGAAATGAATTTAGGGATAAGTGAAAAAAAGCGGTTCTTGATTTTCAACAATCAAAAATATTGCCAGATACTGAAAGTGACCCAGAGCTGAGCGTCCCAGCAGCTCACAGAGGACAGGGACGGCTGGCCACAGGTGGCTGCCTGATCTGTGAAAATGGGACTAAACAAATGAGGCCACTGGAACTCCTGAGCTCAAGCGATCCTCCCGCCTCGGCCTCCCAGAGTGCTGGGATTACAGGCCTGAGCCACTGTACCCCACTGCGTTGTCCACGGTCTTGACTTAGACACTGAGTGAGGTGGAAGCCACGGACAGTCCCAGCAGAGGACGGACTTAGGATTTATGTTCTAACAGGATCAACGGGACTGCTATGTTGAGGGTCCCCTGAGCTAAACCTGAGGCCACTGCAGTAACCAGGTGAGACTGGCTGGTGGGCTGAGCCAGGCAGGCGGTGGTGTTAAGCAGTGGTGAGATTTTGAAAATGTAGACGGGATCCACGGATAGGTTTGACACGGGGGACACGGGGTGTGAGAAAGGAAGGACGCAAGGGCGACTCAGCCTTCATTTGTATCTGTGATGCTTTCATTTCTCATATTTCATTTTTAAGAAATGTAAATCAACACGGCAAAGCGTCAGCATCTGCTGCAGCGGGGCAGCAGGGTCGCGAGTGTATTATTTTCTGCCTGCTTTGGCATGTCTGAAATGTAACGGATGACAAAACAGACCAAGTTCATCAGTCAGTGTCTGAGATTTTTCTTTAGGAAAAGAGAATACCAATTAGAGCTCCCTGTTTTGTGTCTCCATAATCATTAAAATACACCTTTACTTCTTAAATCGTGTTAACAGTTTATGTGTCTATTAAATGGCCAACCTAACAGAGACAAATCAAAGCGCTCGCGTAAGCCAATTACTTCAGCCTTTGCTCATGCCTTTTACAAGAGAAATTTAAAGGCTTAACATTTTCTACAAAAGATGCCCCTGGGTGGAATTCTTCCTCCTCTGATTCTATAATTAATCTTCGATGTTCCATGCCGGAAAGGTTAATGAAATAATTTAAAAGTAGAAAGTCAAGGTTGATAACCTGTACACATTTTTGCTGAGTCTATCTATTTATTTGTTTGATAACTTTTCATGGTGCTTATAATATTGACTTATTGTTTATTTGGTTTAAACTAACGGGGTAAAATCTCCAAGGTCCTATCCTTTGCTGACCTACATAGAAAGCCACATGGAAAAATTCCTATCCATGCTAGCTCTGACTACTTGTCCCTAAGGTGTGGGGACAGATTTTTTTTTTTAGTAGGAGCAGAGTCAAAACAATGTTAACAAAAAAATCTATGTTATTTTCACATCTCTTCTATACTTCCAGATTTTTTTGTTTCATCAGCTGTTTTCCCCCTATCTCTCTTTGGGATCAGGCGACACATCATAATCATAGCCGTATTCATGGTTTTAAAAGAAATCTAAACAACAACATATATTTATAAAAAACATACACACATGAAAACATCTGAAATCACTTGGCAAAATGCACAATAAATCCTACATACTCTCTCTATAAATCTCAGGATTTAAGTTAAAAACAACAAACTTTTTTTAAAAAGCCTCTACTTTCATATGTTAATAAAGTAAAGAATGGTGCTTGGAAAAATTCTACAGCATGGTTCTCCATCCTGGTGTTGAGTTGTGACATGTAACAGATACCTCAAAAAGAAACCATAAAACCACTACTACCACAACCACCACCGCCTCTAAATGCTAATCCCTTTTAATTATAAAAACAAATACACTGCACTCTCACAAGATGGTAAGGGAGCTCAACAGATAAAGCCTGACTTTCTTATAACCACAGACCCTTGGAAAATTATTCCCCAGCATTGTGATTCTCTGTGTTCACATACGGCCCACTTAAGTCACGTAGAAGTCATGGTCCATTGATACCAGCTAGTCCTGCTTAAGGCCCTCAAAACTCCCCCAAAATTACTGAGAAGGATGAATTTTATGGAGACACCAAGGAGAGACCTACATGGCACAACAAATCAAATTAGTAAACTACAAGTGTGACACTTACTAATGATGTGGATTCCTGGACCCCAATTTTAAATTATTTTAATGTATGATAGCATCAAATTGTTGAATATCTGAGAGCAAATGGACTCTGGGGAAAATTTATCTTGTTGAAAATTAAAGAACTAGAGAAAGGCTTCATTAGCGTTGTGTTGCATTTTTAAAGTCACTTCTCAGACACTTTTCAAGTCTTTAACCCCAACCATCTAGCAATATTGCACCCTCAGCTGGGAAACAACAGCGGCTTAGCTGCCAGTACACAGTAACTGATGGGCAACCTCCAGGGGATGTGGAAGCTCAGGACCACACGCTCCATCAGGACACAGAGCTGCTATGACTGACGCCTACGTCAAGCTAATGAAGAAGCAAGCTGTCTTTCCACCACATCCAAATCCTTTACAATACAAACTTCTCCCGATTAACAAAGGCAGCACTTCAGTGACAGTAAGACACGCTCCTGAATCACCCAAACCCTGAAAATTTTCACAGAACACAAACCTTTGGGAGGGGTGAGACTGACTCCGTTTTTAAGGCACCACTGTACTGGCAAAATCCCCAAAGAATCCGCATGGCAGAGCATTGACAGTTTACTAGGTTCTGGTCGTAGGTCGTCAATAGTCACTTGAAAAAAATGATTGCTAAAAACCTAAAGGAAAAAGAAAAAAACAGAGCCAACGGTGAGTTCCTTGGGATTACATATAATGCCGGGATAAAATGCTGGCACAGCTTCCAAAGGCGGTTAATACGTCTCATCAAAATGATCTGGGCATGAACTGGGATTTCAGTGCCTGTTACTAAATTAACTCACCTCCTGAAAAGTTAGAATGGATCATTGTGGTCACATTAATGGAAAGATAAACAAATAACTAGAATATATACAAGAGAGAGAATGGAAAAAAATTAACAACTTAGAGAAGTAAACCCCAATGACCACAGCTGGAAGACAAACTGGCAAGGTCGGACAAACCCCAGCTTAGCTGACAGCCAAGGTGGGAAGTGAAGTTCCAGCAGGGTTCTCAGCGTCCACGGCGGGCCCCACACTCCTCACACCACATCCTTCAAGAACCTTCCAGATCTGGCTTGGAGAATTCTAGCCTCATCCTGCAGCACACCCCTCCGAACACCCTGCCCTCCAGCCCGACAGGGCACAGGTGCACTAAGGCTGTCTTTGCTCAGTGTTTTCAGGGACGACAATGCCCCAACTCCATGCTTAAGCTACCGGGTTACAGTGCATTTTTCAAGGTACATCTCAAATTCCAACGCTGCTGGTCTGGCTGGAATGAAGAGACCCTGCTCTGTGCTCCCGGAGCACCAGGCTTGAACCCCTGTGTTGAAAATCCTCCTTCCTCCTTCCTGTGGATTGACAACACGTCTGTCTTCCCCAGTAGATCCTGAGTTCTTTGAGGACAGTAGCATTATTTTTATTCACGAAAAGTATTCTCAAGTGCATAGTAAATGCCTTGTACGTGGGAACTGGATAAATGTCCACTGAACCTAAGAAAAAACATCCATGAAGAAATAGGAACGAGGCATGTTGACAGAAAAAAGCAGAGGACAAAAATCAGATGGGCCCAAACCGAAAAGCACGATGGGTTTAAAGAACCGAGTATGTAAAACTGGCCAGAAAAAAAAAAGATCCCTTTCCCAACTCAACAGACACAAACCAGACTTTCTTAGGAAACCTTAGAGTTTTACTGAGCTATGATTCCTGGGTGTTACATTTTTTTTCTGGAAGCAATCTAGGTCAAAGATAAGCAAGAGAGGAAAATTCATTTCTGTTCTTCTCTATGTTAATTCCAATAGAAAGTTATAATTCTACTGCCTGAGGTTTTGCTTGGAAAGTCAACTTTAGGGAGCAAAGGATCAAATCTGCCTGGGAAGGCCAATTCCCCACGGCCCTGTTGAAAATCCCATCCTCCCTGCACAGCAATGCTCCTTCCCTGGTGTATTTTTCTCCTAGCATTTGACATGTGACACACTATATTTACTTATTCCTTAATTTTGTTTATTGTCTGTCTCTCCCCTATTACAATATAAGCTTCCTAACAGCAGAGGCAACGTTCCCATTGTTCGGTACAGTGCCCGTGAATGCTCAGTAGGTATCTGTTAAATTGCTGTCATCAGGTCTGTCCTGCACAGACACTCATACCCAGACACGTATGTATATTAAAAGCATGTGACTTTGGTGCCAGGATCTCTTAGTGTTGCAAGACCCTGTGAAGATGGGCACTGGGGAATTCCAACACCTGTTCATATCCACGCTCACGTGGGCACACCTCTCAGGGAAAAGCTCAGTAAGTTTCATCGACTTCATGAGGGTTCGTGTTCCCAAGTGGTGAGAATGACTGCTCTGTGATCCACCCGGTCCAGAACCCACCAGTCTCAGAACTAAAAGCTCAGAGCAGTTAACCAACTTGCCCAAGACCACACAGCTCAGAGACGGCAGCGCAGAAACAGAACCCGACACTTCTCATTCTAGTTTCCTTTCCTCTTTCCTCTTGTCAACACAACACAGTTCACTTAACGCAGAGGACATTACCAACATCTCAATATCTCATCCTGTAAGGAACACCAAAAACACTATCCCGCTTTGCTGCTAAAGGTCGGCCATTTAATACTAGAGCCATTACATGCTCGTCTGTTTGCTGTAACGTTATTTACTTATTTCTTCAGGGGTGCCACCGAGGAAAACCCCATGGGAGGGGTAAATGAAATCTGGATCGTGATGAGTGATGACAGCACAATGTGTAATATTCTAAAGCATTATCCAGTGCTCAGAGAAATACATTTAATTATAAATGTCTCCTACACTAAGAATGTTCTGACACCTCATGACATGAAGACAAGCTTTGCACCCGAGGGAGTGTCTCCCCGGGTCCTAAGGGACAGAAGCAGGCACCCCAGCCCAAGCAGCAGCGACACAGTGTCGTAAGAGGAGGGGGGGTGCAGAGAGACTACATGACTTAAGTATTTTACCACTGGTAGAGGGGTAAGAAAAAGTAAAATGAAAAGAAAAACACTAATAAAGCCAATAAAAATACCTACTCTCTCTCCTCCCAATAAGGCCAATTTAGAGAAAATTATTTATCGTGAAGACCAAATACTGGATGTCTATCCAACTAGAGAGATATTTTGATCCGTATGTTACATTCTATTGTTACCTACGGCAATTATTTAAAGGTACAAAAACGTGAGGGACCGAGGGAACAAAGGGAAATTCTGGCCAGGATTCAGCAAGGTACAAGGCTTCAGTGTTGGAAAACCTTCCAATAACTTCCAGAAGACACAGCAAAGAACCTCAAAGGCCATTTTAAATAAATAGGTTTTTAATGGGTGGCAAAGGAATGGTCCTGCATGAGTTTAACCTCGAGATGATCATACGAAGCGTGAGTCAATACTTTCTTTAAGTAAATTACCTTAAATATTTAAAGTTACCCTTTAAATAAATTTAATAGTTATAAAAGTAATTTATGTTCACCAAAGAAACAAACATTTAGAAAAGAAAAAAAACATTTCATTATTATAATCACTTTCCATATTCTTCAATACACTATCGTCACTAAATTTCTCCAATTTCACCAAATCATTAATTTTTAAAAATCTCGACTCAAATAACCATAAAACACTAACGACTGTATCAACAAATCCAGTTTCTTTAAGAAAAAGGAATTAAAATAAAATTGACTTTTGTCTTTAATTAAATTCTCCCACTGAAATACACCAAAGGCTCTTAAACCAAGACACACGTTGGCTAAGAATGTTCAGTTTCTCCCACCATTTATAAGTGGTTACTTAAGGTAGAAACAGGCAATTTAGATTTTACCATAGGTCATATCATTGACATGTCTTTTGTGGGGAAGGGATATTAAAATCTTAAAAGATTATCAGATCATCATAAAAATGCCTTTACATGAAAAGGTAATTTCATTTGGAATCTGCAAATCTTAGAAGCCTTCAGTCAATGAAGGCAGATGAGAAAAAGGACAGACACGTGGGAGGTGAGAACTTGCTTTTCACTATTTTCAGATAGTTTCTAAAGATAAATAGATCATATTCACTACGACCCGTGCAGGAGAAAAAACTACTTACAATGATTACGACATGCACCCGGTCGGTGGACGACTATCGGAAGACAAGGAAAAACGCCCCTCTGCGATATTAGAGGAGGCATCTGATTAGACTGGCCCTGTGCTCCCCGTAATAAAAAGAGCTTAAAGCAGTGCTGGGCTGGAGAGACGCAATCCGCCTCTGGTTCACTGGGCATCGCTGATACCGTGGGTGAATATATTTCATCGGGTCGGCTTGGAGTTGAAAGACTTAATTCGATCCACGCTGGGGGCCAGGGCAGGGGAGGAGAACCCACCTTGGTCACTGATGCAGGACAGATGTGAAAGGGCTCGCTCATGTTCACGGTTTCCAGCTTCATCCCAACTGTGAAGAAATGGCTTCGCAAATCTGCGTGATCCTGCGGGCAGAAAGAGAAACGTACTGAAAGCGGCGGCGTCGGGAGTTAACTCGGGAACCGTCCGGAGGTTATCCGTGAGCATTTCACTGGGCAACTGAAATCGGATGAAAATAATTAACCCTCCCCGCTTCGAATGCCTAATTCTTGCAAGATACTGGGGATTTAATTATTTTCTGCAGGCTAAATTGCTTTTGCAAGGGAGAGGCAGCAAGCCTATGTGGCCACGCTTAAATTTACACTGAGCAAAAAAATTCACATCACGTGGCTTTGATCTTCCCAGGTGCTATCGACGGAGGCTGGCGGGGTGATGGAGGCAACCAGCCATCCTGAACACAGCGGTGTGTCTTCGGAAAACGTGGCCTCTTGCTGCTGGAGTTACATCACAGGGCTTCCGTGCAGACCCTCTGGGTGACAGTCGCCTCCACATCCTGCATCTAAGTGCATACAGCTCACCCGATACTGGTAGTGCGCCAATGATCTTGGAGATGTGCGCACCCAAGAATCCGAAACCGCCCTGCAGACAATCAGAACCTGACTCCTACTCAATAGTGATGAGCAACACCCCTCTTTTAATAGGTGTCTGGCAGTTTTGCAACCCGCTCACAGCAACCTTATGCGCGCAGACGGGGCTTCCTCGCCTCCTCGAGAAAACAAATTTCAATACCCACTTCAGCTATCCAGCAGCGGATGAGGCTGGCTGTGCTCTGCACGCCAGAATTTATCTTGCTGAGATGGAGTCACCTCCTAACTCAGTCTGGATCAACAGCAGTGGATGAGTAAACGTACTTGCGGTCTGTCCCTGAGGAAAGGACAGCTGCAAATAAATCCTGTGCTTTCCAAACACATCCACTGGGTGTGAAGTGCAAAAAGGTATCTGGGGGCCTATTACTTTCTTTTTAACTACAAACCTAAAGTGGGTTTTTAATTAATTCAATGATGCCACTCTGGATCCTGCCCCGAGGCTTGCGCAGAGCGCGGTCGGGCTGTGCCGGCTCTCCCAGCCCCGCCGCCCACGCGCCACGGCAGACCACGGAGGAGGAGCTGCTTAGAAAACTCTCCACCGTGCTGGCAGAAACCTACAGAATGTAAACGCCTCTAGGACCCGCAAGACCCCTGCGTTTCTCAGGTCCCCACACACAGCAGCCTGCAGAGGTCTCAGCACGCGTGCACACACAGTAAGTGTTCGGTGTGGGCGACGCAAACACTGCCCCACCCAGAACAAGAAGGGATGTGGCCAAATACAACCAAACCAATCGAAGGAACTGGCCCATTCCAAACCCTTAAAAATCCCATAAGCACTTACAATCAACACTTTACAGAAATGACCTGCATAAGGGAAAGCAGAAGGAGATATTCTTAGTTGCAGGTGAGGACTTTTATTGTTTACGTGGCAAACAAAGCATTTATTTTTAAAGGTCACTGGCAGAAGGTGGGCCAGGAGAGAAAAGTAGTGAAAAGCAACCATGTCAGAGGTTAAAGCGGATTAACACACACCAAGCGTGATGCCAAGGCAGGGCTGTAAACACAAGCGCTAAGCCACCAAACTAAACCAGAACTGCCTCGCTGACGTCTGTATTGAAAGATGAACAGTTAAGTTGAATGTTTCTGGGCATAAAGACAAATATTTAAAGTGGCGGTTATCCCAGTGACACTGATTTGATCTTTACAAATTATATGAATGTATTAAATTATCACGTGCATCCCAAAAATATGTGCATCTATTATGTAACAATAAAAAATAAAATTTTTTTTAAAAAACATTCAAAAAAGATTCAAACTTCAGGTTCCCGTCAAGTCTCCAATGCCCCAGGACCCAAATCAGTGGGGGCCGAGCCACATTCATGGATTTTGCAGGTAAATACCTTTCTCTATTACAAAACCTTTTAATCTTTTGCAAAGAGGAATTATTCTAAAATTATGATGTAACAGAAGTTTGAATGTACTCAACAAGCCGGAGCAGTCATTATTATGCCACGTGACAACACAGACATGCCCTCGGGCTCTCATGACGCATCTGTAACTATAAAAAAGGGCCCAGATGAACACAACAGTGTCTCGAAGTGTCCGCTTCCCTCTCTGCTAGGGGCCTCCTTCCCTGCGGCGACATTCCCTCACACACCTGCGGCTACCGGGCTGGCCCGCTTGAGACCTGGCTCCCCGTCACGGGGAAGGGACACCTGCCTGGTGGTGTCCATCACCAGGGCTGTCCTCTCACTTCCCTCGATTCCGGATTCTGTGCCTGCTCTCTGCTCTGGATACTTCTGCCCCGATCTTTGCTGAGTAAGGCCGGCTTTCAAAGTAGGGTTGACTCACAACTCGGGGTCCTTTCTACACCCCAGGCTCTCAATTCGACCCGGACCACTGATGTGGAGTCTTAACCCAGTCCACACCCATCCTTGAGCCTTGGCTCCAAGCCCTTCTGGAAGGAAGGCCTCTCGATCGCAGCTCCCGAAGCTCTGCTGAAACTCCGTGGCCCGGGAGCACTGTGCGAACAGCCTTCCCGGGTCCACGGGTGTCTAGCAGAGACCAGGCCACGGCTGCCTCTCCTTAGCAATTTGCGCCTCAGATAACCCTTCTCACACTCAGGGCTGCGGACTGCATTATAAACGCTCATTGCTAATGACTTTGGTGTCCTCTGCATCAACCTACATCTCCAGGTTAAGCGGGGGCCGCTTCCTGCAGATGGCACACAGCCCTGCCTTCTCTCCTGGAGCACATGTGCTCACCCGGCCACCACTGAACTCCTCTAGCTCTGCTCTTCCGTGAAAATGAACATACACAGGTATGCCGCAGTAGGCTACCAGATGTTGCATGAAATACACACACATAAAAAAATCTACATGTGTCAAAGGGAGCAGGAAACAAGTACAGGTACAGAAGATCCAAATTTCAGAACAAATTCTCTTACTTCTAGCATATAAAAACTAAATATTACCATGAGACCACGGCAGACAAACGATTTATAGGAGTAAATCTTAACTTGGAATATGAAAATCACGTGACTCGATGATAAAGGAAAGATTCCCGGAGAGCAGCACAGTAAATTTTTTCAGGGAGGCTTGGCCCTTAAATGCCGGAGGGATGGAGGCATTTGAGTATGATCTAAAAGGCAAAAGAAGTCATTTGACACTCCTAAGAAATAAGGTTTTACGATAATTGAGGAATTCAACAGCAGTGAATTTCCAGATAAGCCAATACACAAATCCGCTGACTTCCGTGGGTGTAAGTGCACATCCGCACTAGCACACGAGCGGAGATGCAGACGCTCTCATGGGAAAGCAGATGCAATCACCTGGACCACTTACCCTTTAGCGGACTTTGGGCTGCTAATGCAGTCTGGGTGCTGCGTTCATTTACACACACCCCCAGCTAATCGTTCTCAACGTGAAGGACAGGCAGAGTTCCTGGTTCCCAAAGATGATTCACACAACTGATTATCAACTGAGCAATAATGGAAAATTCACTGCGATTTGAAAGAGACATTCTGGCCTTTGCAAAGCTCTGGAGAATCGTTCGCGCTTGGCAATTATTGGATCAAGAACGATGTTATTTCTGCGATCAGGACGTATTACGACATCCTCAGTATACTTACAAATATGCCTGTCACCGTCGGGAAATACCGTTCACTTAGATTACTAGAGTCTGGTTAAATTGCTTACAGAAAAACTACTCTCCATTAATAAATGCCAGCAATGTTGTTCCCGTCCACATTCATCGCGACCCATTTTTATTTTTGCCCCGAAGTAGTTTTATATTGATCAAAAGTAAAATGCCATTCATTTTATTGGAGGACTGTCTTACCAGGCGACCGTGGCAATCTCTCTTCGGGGAACCTTATTTTCAGTGGAATGGCATCGTAAAAGGGATTCTGTAGGCATCAACGTCCTTTCTCCACTTGGGCCTCATCAGCGCTGTTCCCTCCAGGGCCCATGCACGTCTTGTTCTCTCCGCCTCAGACACGGCACCTCTGCGCTGAGACTAACTTGGTTTGGTAGATGCAGATGGAGCATCCGGAATCCGAAAATCCCAAATCCAATATGCTCCGAAATCCAGAACTTTTTGAGTGCCCACATGATGCACAGTGGCAATGTCCACTGGAATATTCTGGATTTTGGATTTTCAGCTGCTCAACCAGTAGGTATACTGGTATACCAGTATATATTAGGTATATAGTAGGCACCTTCAACCAGTAGGTATACAAATATCCCCAAATCTGAAATCCGGAATCTGAAACACTTCTGGTCCCGTGCATTTCAGAAAAGGGATTGTACTTGTACTATCAAGGGAGTAAAAATAGTAACTCGCACGGTGTGAATACTTGCATGCATTTTCCCTGCATGCGAGGGAAAATACCACTCGCCCCCCACACAGACTGCAGGGTAGCTATCCACCTTATAGTGGGGAAATTAAAACACAAAGAGGTTAAGTTACCTAAGCAAAGATACAAAGCTAATAAAAGGAGTGAGGTTTCTAACCCAAGCAGTCTGACTCTGAGTCCAAGATCCAGCCACCAGATTATACAACAGACTGGGAAACAGACCAAAAAGGATCTTTTATTTTTAACCAATAATTAGTAAAAACAAATGGACAAAACCACTACAACCTATAAGCTCCTAAAATTTTATTTCAAAGGAAGCTATTAGCAAGTAATACTGATCATTCACTGAAAACCTCCCATTTTTGCTGTTAATATCTAACACTTTTCAATGGCTTATGAAAAAAGTTATTTCAGAGCATTCTAACCGTAAAAATGACCCCCAAGATGATTATATACAATCACAGTCTTACCAAAAATTAACAAACATCTTTACTACTTAAGTACGTTTGTATATTAATCGATCAAGATTTAAGAAACGTACTCAACGAAATGCCCACAATGCCTCATAAATTATCCCTCATCGATACGTATTTCCGCATAATGTTGTCAGTGTTAACCAAGACAGGTTACTCCGATCAATGCGGTTCATCTAGCACACGTGGCTGGCTGGGAAATCCACGCC